AGAAAGAAAGAAAGAAAGAAAGAAAGAAAGAAAGAAAGAAAGAAAGAGAAAGGAGGGAGAGAAAGTATGGAAAGAAAAAAGAAAGAGAAAGAAAGGAAGAAAAAAGAAAGAAAAAGGAAGGAAAGAGGGAGGGAGAGGAAGGAAGGAAGAGAGAGAAAGAAAGAAAAAGAAAGAAAGAGGAAGGAAGGAAGGAAGAAAAAAGGAAGGAGGGAGGGAGAGGAAGGAAGGAAGGAAGGAAGAGAGAGAGAAAGAAAGAAAGAGGAAGGAAGGAAGGAAGGAAGGAAGGAAGGAAGGAAGGAAGGAAGGAAGGAAGGAAGGAAGGAAGGAAAGAAAGAAAGAAAGAAAGCTTCGTAGGCAGAGAGGAGAAGAGCCACAGCTACCCAGGGGGGCCTCTGGGAAAGAACAGGGCCGCATGCTGGGGGTGAACTTGGCAGAAAGTGAACTGGTGCCAGTGACCTCGGACCTCCGTGGGGGCTGCTGGTCTCCAGACGGGCCCATTCACAGCTGCCTTTCTCCCCTCTAGATCCCGTCCTGCTTTATTCTCCAAATGCCTCGTTTTGGGAAGGAGTACAAAATGTTCAGCAAAATCATCCCTTCCTTGGAGCTGGATATCACTGATCTGCTGCTGGACAGTAAGTCCTCTTGGGCCTGCGGGGCTGGGGGGGGTGGTGGAAATAAAATGCTCTAGAAACGCCCTCGCCACGATGCCGTCACACAGCGTGAAGCTGAGGACAGGATAAGCCAACCTTCATTGTCATTTTCCTGCGTGTGTTGTGGCCCACCGGCGGCTGACGGAGCTGGCAGTGGAGTCGGACAGTAGCGAAGAGGTTGGGGAGGAGCCTAGGCCGGTTCTGGAGGCTGAGGAAGGCCCGGGGGAGGGCTCTGCGTCAGAGGCCCTGGCAGGCTGGCAGTCAGCAAGCTGCCTTTGGGTTCAGACAGCAGTGAGGAGCAGGGGAGCTTCTGGAACCGGTTCCCAGCCTGCGCGTGCACAGGTCTCCCTGAAGACAAGAACCACTGAGAAAGCAGGGTCGACTCAGGGGTAAGGCCCACCCCTCGGAGACGATTGGCCCCTCTCCTAGGAAATCCAAGAAGAGCGAAGGGGACGTGAGCTTTTGCGGGAAGCAATTAGCTCATCGGGTCGATTCAAGCTCTGAAAAGTTCCGTTGGGTTCTGTGTCGAGTTTGGCCTTGCTCTGCGTTTGGCCATTCGTTCTCTGGCCGCCTCCCAAGTGCCGTCAGGTGGGTGTTTCTATGCATCCCCCAAAAGGCTGTTGGGGAAGCCTTGCAGGCCGGGAATGAACGTAATTCACAGCCATGGGAATTAAAGAGGTTTTGCCGGGAACTGAGATCGCGTTTGATGCTTTCTAAGGAAGTCAGAACAGGGGACACAATGTAGCACACCTTAAAATGACTTTCCGAAGCCCCACTCTGGAGGGAAGGCCTGCCACCCACCAAACAACGTCACTATCCCAAGACAACCACAGTCATAATATAGTATAACAGCAGCAGAATCCAAAAATGCCAGGCTGTACAAAAATGGCACTGAAACTTTATCTATCTATATACAGGCAGTCCTCGATTTAGGACCACAGCTGAGCCTGACATTCCTGTTGTTAAGTGAGATGTTTTTGTTAAGGGGACTTGGCCCCATTTTACAAACTTCCTTCCATGAATCACTGCAGTTAAGTTAGGAGCAAGGTCGTTAAGTGAATCTGGCTTCCCCGTTGACTTTGCTTGTCAGAAGGCCACAAAAGGGGATCATGTGACACCCCCCCCCCCCCCAGGATGCAGCGACTGTCGTAAAGATGAGCCAGTTGCCAGGCGTCTGAATTTTCATCACATGATCGCAGGGGAGCTACAAGGGTCGCAAGTGTGAAAAATGGTCGTAAGTCACTTTTTTCAGGGGCGTTATAACTTTGAACAGTCGCTAAATGAACTGCTGTAAGTCGAGGACTACCTGTACACACACACACACACACACACACACACACACACACACACACACAGACAGACAGACAGAGTCCTCAACCTATGACCACAATTCAGCCCAAAACGAGTTTTGCCCCATTTTACCTTTCTCGTCACCGTCACTAAGTGAATCATCGCGGTTCTTAAGTTAGTCGCACATTTGTGACATGAATCTGGCTTCCTCGTTGACTTTGCCGGTCGGAAGGTTGCAAAAGGGGGATCACGTCGACCTCCCCCCCTACCCCCGGGGGACGCAGCAACCCCGTCAAAATAGAAGTCAGTTGTCTGAATTTAAGTCCGGTATGTGGTCCTGGGGATGGTGCTACGGTTGTAAGTGTGGGAAATGGTCCCAAGTCCCTTTTTTCAGTGCTGTTGTAACGTCAAAGGGTCACGAAACGAATTGTTGCAAGTCGAGGGCTTGTATTAACCACAGTCCGTCTTGAATAGAGAGCAGGAAAAAGACTCCCGAGAGTTAACAAGGTTTAGAGCAGGGGTGTCCAACCTTGGCCACTTTAAGACTTGTGGACTTCAACTCCCAGAATTCCTCAGCCAGCTTTGCTGGCTGAGGAATTCTGGGAGTTGGAAGTCCACAAGTCTTAAAGTGGCCAAGGTTGGACACCCCTGGTTTAGAGGAGGAGGAGGAGGAGGAGGGGAGTTGGAAGGGACTCCCACCAACAGGAGAGGTGCCCAACCTTGGCCACCTTAAGACCTGTGCACTTCCAACTCCCAGAATTCTTCAAAGTTGCCAAGGTTGGACGTCCCCCTGCCCTAAACCCTTTGCACAGCTGTATAGCCACGAAGAGTAAGGCCCAAAACTGCGAGCTGGGCAGTGGCTGAACCCCTGAAATGCAGCCCGCATGACCGAAGAGGGAAAGGAGGGCGAGACTTCGGCATTGGGCCGGAAGTGTCCGCTATCCATGGGTCAGGAAACATTGGAACGGTGGCGTTGATTGCTGCCCTGAAAGAAGGTATCTGTGTTGTGGGGAGGAGAGTTATTCTGCTTTTTATTTTTCTCTACATTGTGTTTTTATTGTCTGTAAGCCACCGAGAGTTGCTGTGAGCGAGTAGGCAGCCGTATAAATTATCTGAGAGAGGGAGAGAGAGAGAGAGAGAGAGAGAGAGAGAGAGAGAGAGAGAGAATCATAGATAGATGATAGATAGATAGATAGATAATAGATAGATAGATAGATAGATAGATAGATAGATAGATAGATAGAGATAGAGATAGAGATAATGATGGATAGATATAGATAGATAATGATGGATGGATAGAGATAGATAATGATAGATGGAGAGAGAGAGAGGGAGAGTCATAGATAGATGATAGATAGATAGATAGATAGATAGATGATAGATAGATAGATAGATAGATGATAGATAGATAGATAGATAGATAGATAGATAGATAGATAGATAGATAGATGATAGATAGATAGATAGATAGATAGATAGATAGATAGATAGATAGATAGATGATAGATAGAGATAGAGATAATGATGGATAGATATAGATAGATAATGATAGATGGAGAGAGAGAGGGAGAGTCATAGATAGATGATAGATGATAGATAGATAGATAGATAGATAGATAGATAGATAGAGATAGAGATAATGATGGATAGATATAGATAATGATGGATGGATAGATAGATGATAGATAATGATAGATGGTTAGAGATAGATAATGATAGATGGAGAGAGAGAGAGAGAGAGTCTAGATAGATAGATAGATAGATAGATAGATAGATAGATAGATAGATAGATAGATAATGATGGATGGATAGATAGATGATAGATAGATAATGATGGATGGATAGATAGATGATAGATGGTTAGAGATAGATAGATAATGATGGAGAGAGAGAGAGAGAGAGAGATCATCAAACCTCAATTTTTTACTTTTACATAATAATATAAACTAGCCATTTTTATAACAACAAAACTAATCAGTAAAATCCAAAATTAAAGTTTCCTTTTTCCCCCCCACAAGTACAAAGTCCAGATGTGGTTTCCAAGTAGAAACAAAAGGAATTGTGTTTTTTTCCCCCTTTAATCAGTCAGTCTCTGCTAACTCTATCAACTTTTGCAGCCATTTGTCCATTGTGGGAATCAAAGCATCCTTCCATTTTTGTCCTCTTTTCCCCTTTTCCTTTCTTTTTGTCCCTTTCCCTACATTTTCCCCTTCCCTTCTCCTTCCCCTATTTTCCTCCTGTTTTCTTTTGTGCTTTTGTATTTTATAACATAAACTAATAAAAAAAAAAGTACTCCGTATTTTTAGAATAGTTGCCACGATGAGGACTGGAGACTTGGCACACCGCTGGTCTGAAAGGAGATTTTCCTGAGGTCTTCCTTTTTCACTGACCCACCCAGATTTCTGCTTGTGGCCTCTGCGAGGAGGGATTCAGGCTTTGGACCAGTGAGATGCTTTGCATCTGTCTGGGGCAGCCAAGGGGCCTCCGAGTTCTTGGGTCTCTTGTGAATTGCAGGGAACGGGAGAAAGTTTCAGCCGCTGATTGTTGCCTTCGCACTTCAGGTCCCCGGGAGTGTTTCGTATGTGGAGATATCGCCACTCAGGAGTGCTCGGCGTGCTTCAAAGACAAGATGTTTGCTGGCACGGGGCTGAAGCAGTTTTGCGACTCGTGTTGCAATCAGGTGTGTGTGGTTGTTTTGTTTTTGCTTTGAGGAACGCTGTCGAAGATCCAGGCCAGGCCATTCGGACATTCAGGTCGGGTTCATTTGTACCAAATCCCCAACAAGTCCTTGCCCAGCTGGTCTACCATTGCTCAGTGGAGTTGATCTGGTCAAAGGTGGAACAATTTAAGACAAGGGCACAATTTAGGGTACAACCTTGGCAATTTTAAGTCTGTTCTGACCTCGGCTTCCCCAACAGCACGAAGCCGACTCCTTGTCCTGATAAACCCCTTTTATTTAGTTTACGGTGAATTCCTCTCCAGCAAAGTCCTGGCCAACAGTCTTTCATGAGATTTCACAAGTACAGACCTTTATCAGGCTGGGAGAGTTGCCAGGCCGATAGCTTCCAAACGCCACGCTGTAGCAGCAATGACTTGGCAAGAAGTCAGGAACAGATCTTCACCCTAATGAATTAAACTAATTGTCTCCTGCAAACGCCACTCCCCTTTCTCTTCTCTTTTATTTCCTCTGGGAGGGGCCATTCACCATCCACCTGAGCCTTTACTCCCAAGTCGACCCTTGTTCCTTAACTTTTCCCTTCCTCTGGCAGCTCTGTGCATGCCCAAACTGGGAACAGGCTCCAGCTGTTCTTCTTCCCCACTGATCTCTGACTGCAAAGGCAGCTGATAACTGTCAGACAGCCCTGGCTCCATCTCTGCCTCCGACGCAGAGCCCTCGTCCGAGCCTTCCCCAGACTCTGGGACTGGCCCAGGTTCCTCCCCAACCTCCTCACTGTCCGAGTCTGCCGCCAGCTCCACTGGCCACTGACGGGCCAGAACAAAGACCGATGGACTTCAGTTCCCAGAATTCTCCAGCCAGCTGTGATCCCCAGAATGTTATGCTTGCTAGGGAATTCTGGGAGTTGAAGTCCACCGGTCTTAAAGGGGCCAAGTTTGGAGACCCCTGTTCTAAGGTCTCCAATTCTTCCATTAGTCGAAGGCAAAAAGCCTCATTTCCTTTCATCCCAGCCATCACCAGGAATCAATGCTCAATTAACTAATTAGGCTCTCATTGCTTTCTTTTAACAATGAGAGCTAGTCTTCCTCGCCCGCCATTGTGCAATGTCTTACCATTTTACAAGAAGACCCCTGAGATAAATGTTCTGAAAGGACAATGGGCATGGAGACTTTTTCTCCATTTAATGGGTCTTACAGTCTCCCATTACAAACCTTCCCCTTTTAGGTGTCTTGCTGATTTCATTCTCCATCTCACAAGCAGCCAGAGTGTTTTGTCCAAGGGAAGATCTGTGTGGTTTCTCTGTGTGTGTGTGTGTGTGTTTGTGTGTGTATGTGTGCGTGTGATTGTGTCAATACCGTGTCCCCAGTATCAAGGTCTCCTGCCTAAGAAACCTCACCAGTGTCCCCTCACTCACTTCCAGGCTCACTCCCATTATCAGCGAAGAGGCCATCAGACGGCCAAGCTGCGCGTCCCCAAGGAATTCGCTCGGGACAGGATGCAGGTGCCACGGGAGAAACTGGAGCTCTTTGCCGTCCTCTGCATTGAGACCAGCCACTACGTGTCCTTCGTGAAATACGGGCCAGAGAAAGAGAACTGGATGTTCTTCGACAGCATGGCAGACCGACACGGTGCGTCCTTCGTTCGTTCGTTCGTTCGTTCATTCATTCATTCGTTCGTTCATTCATTCATTCATTCATTCATTCATTCATTCTCTGCCTTTATTTGTAAGTAACACAAAGCAGCAAACGTGTCGAATACTTTTTCTTCCACCTATTTTCCCCATAGCAACCATCCTATGAGGTGGGTTGGACTGAGAGAAAGAATCACCCAACCAGCTTTCATGTGTAAGGTGGGATTAGAACTTAGCATCTCCCTGTGATTGGAACAGAGTCACCCAGTTGGCTTTCATGCCTAAGGCAGGACTAGAACTCACCGTCTCCCAGTGATTCACTCAAAGTCACCCAGCCAGCTTTCGTGTCTCAGGTGGGACTAGACCTCCCAGTCTTCTGGCAATTGGCTCAAAGTCACTGGCTGGCTTTCATGCTTAACGTAGCGCTAGAACTCATCGTCTCCCAGCGATTGGCCCAAAATCACCCAGTTGGCTTTTATGCCTAAGGCAGGGCTAGAACTCACTGTCTCCTAGTGACTGGGCCGCAGTCACCCAGCTGGCCTATATGCCTAAGGCAGGGCTAGAATTTCCCCCACTGCTGCTTTCTAGCCTGCTGCGTTCAACACTAAACCAAACAGATAACAGATTAACTGAGTTGGAAGGGACCTTGTAGGTCATCTAGTCCAACACCCCACCCAAGCAGGGAGACCCTACAACATTTCTGACAGGTGGCAGTCCAGTCTCTTCTTGAAAGCTTCCAGTGATGAAGTCCCCACAATGTCTGAAGGCAAAAGCTGTTCCATTGGTTGATTATTCTCCTTATTTCCAGGTTGAATCTCTCTTTGTTCAGTTTCCATCCATTATTCCTTGTCTGACCTTCAGATGCCTTGGAAAATAGCTTGACCCCCTCCTCCTCTCTGGGGCAGCCCCTCAGATATTGGAGGACTGCTATCCTGTCTCCTCTGGTTCTTCTCTTCTCTAGACTAGCCAGGCCCAGTTCCTGCAACCGTCCATCGTATGTTTTAGCCTCCAGTCCCCTCACCATCCTGGTTGCTCTTCGTACCTGTTTGGGCCAGGGTTTCTGCTTCGTTGGGTCGGATTGGGCCCCCCATGTTCAGTTCAAATGCTGGGGTGCCTGTGGGCTTTGGGGGTGATCTCTGGAAAGTGCCCCCCACTTTCACCAGGCAAGCCAAAGTGCCTAAACGCCTGACCCTCCCATCTCTCTCTCTCTCTCTCTCTCTCTCTCCTCCACTCAGGTGACGAGAACGGCTACAACATCCCCACGGTGACGCTGTGCCCGGAGGTGGCCAAATACCTGGAGATGCCCGTCTCGTCCTTGGCCATGGAGCAGCCCCGGGACATGGAAGGAGTCGCCAAGCGCCTCTTTTGCGACGCCTACATGTACATGTACCAGAGCAAGAAGATGGCCCTTTATAAATGACACCCCCCCGCCCAGCTCCGTGTCCCCGGAAGGAAGAAACCTCCAGGTCTTTCCCATAGCTCTTCTTTCCTGCTCTGCTTCTCAGGGACTAAGAAGCCTCTGCGGCTGAGTCTCCTCCCCACAACCCCGCCTTGACCCACCGGGTGGGCAGAAGAGCGTGTCACAACATACCTCACTTCTCTCTCCACTTGGCTTGTCATCTTCAGACTGACGCACCTTCGTCTTCCTGGGGACCACAGCTAGGAACACAGAAGCGGAAGGTCAGATTTGGGGAGTGGGGGGGAGAGAGACTGGGCTGTACCCCAGAAGCAGGAAGCCCCCCCCCCCCCCCCCCCCCCCCTTTTCCCGGCCCCTCTGCTTCCCCCACAACCGGGGGGGAGCCCCCTTTCCCGAAACGACCGGGGGGGGGGGGGGGGGGATTTAGCTTCGCGGACAAGGAAGGCTCACGAACTGTGCTGTGACTTTTGTCTAGGAATCCTGAGTGACCAAAAAGTCTGTGGCTCTCTTTGCACATGGCCCTTTTTAAATGCTCCCAGGGCATTAGGGCGCTCACCCCTTAAAAAAAAAGAGACATTAGGGGGCTCCAGGCTGAAGTTTCTTGTTAAGTGTCTCAGGTTGGACCAAGAACATTTTACTCCAATCTTGGGGGACGACGATGGGGGGGGGGGGAACGGACCTCACATTTATTCTCTTTCCATGTTCCATTTTTGATGAGGCCGCACTGTGTACAATCAGCTCCCAACCAAAGCAAAAGAGGGCAGCAACTTTGGGACCTCAAGCTGCCTTGCCTCTGATTTAATTAATTTCAAATGATTAATTGAATCATCTCAATCTCGCTGCCCCAGCAGCACATTCAGAAAAGCACCTGAGCTCCTTAGCTGATTTCTGTTTTCTGATGCAAACAAATACATCCCTGGATTTGCCTATGAAGATTCTACATAAACGACTTTTCCTATGTCAGCCCTATATATATATATA